TGTAGTATACATTTGTAATATGTAGCCTATTTATGTGCGACGTTGTTTGTGTTAAGAACTAAAGGTAGTTTGTATTGATATATGTACAAAATTTTATTTTCAAATCGTATGTCTAGGATTTGGGAGTTTGGGTGACTTCCGACAGTCGTTGCCCCTAATTTTTTGCATTGATTGATATTCTGACTTTTCTGGCGGGTTATATCGATATATCAATATGAAGTCTTATCTAAATACATTGTCACATTCGTTTTTTTCTATGCTGTGCGATGAAATCAGGGTTGTTCCATGTGTTATCTTATTTTGACAAATACTTATTTGTGCAATATTACAGCAATAAAAAACGCAGTGGCAGCGATCCCGCGACCCCGGATCTTCGTTCACCATCGCACAATCAGGGATCGCATTCCCCGGTGGGTAGGCAACGTAGTCTGGAAAATTGGCAGGTATGCAATAAATCCTTCAATTCGCTTACCATCACTGGTCCCTGCTTATTTGCGCTGAGATACATGTGAAGAATCAGAGTAGGTATCTCGCGTAAAAAAATCGGCATGTCAACATTTGTTAAGCATTATCCGTCAGCACGAGTGTATAAATGTCATCGTGAGCGCAGTAAAACTTTACTTTTCATGTGCGTTGATTCTATTTCTTTTCGATTGTTTCTGACCAATACGGCGTCGAAGCGCTAATCCATCACAATGAAACCTCATTTTTCAACGCATGCAGGGTATTTCGCCAGAGGAAGCTCTATCTCATGTAGTGCTAGCGGCGCGCCAATATATCCAGAAAGACCTGGAGAAATGTAAAACACTCAAAGTACGCGCTGCGAGTCCCACTGTGGACCTTTTGGAAGGCTAAAATCACCTAGGCTTATCGCAATCCACTTGTGCTTTAAGTGTTGTGAGTATAGTTATATGTCATTGGTCTTATATTACCTAAGGCAACTGTACACATCATAAAATATGAATTCTACAGTACCATACTGCTTAATATGGTTCAATATGTTCGCCTGCTGAAACTCTGATTCGATTCGATTCCGTGCATTGCTAGTTAGCCTGGCCTATATCGACTTGAAACCCAGTTCGTATTAGAGGACTCTGACATCTCCCTTGCACTGATTTTGATCTGTATTGGCGATTCGTAATGTAGGGATACCTGGGCTCGGTTGCTTGCGACTAAGACCACTACTCATCTCCGAAATAAACTATGTCTTTCCTCGTAGGTACACCTGTTTTATGCAGAATCTGAAGTTTGGGTTGATGTCGATTTGAGTTCAACAAATCCTGATCAATTGTAAGTTCATTCATATGCCTTTGTCCTTTTTCTGTCCGATGTCAAAGATAGTTCTGTTTGATTAAAATGCTAGTCGCCCAGGGCTATTTGACTGTACTTGCAAACTGTGATATTCAGATTTCTCCATCATTCTTTTCTTAGTGACCTGGGTATTATTGATGACAAAGTCTTATACATGAAGTTGGCCAGGATACACAAGGAAACCACCAAAGCGTGTAAGCGACTGGCAGTGGTATGTAGTTTAGTTTTTTTGTGTATCGCTATGTTTTTTTTTACAATACGAGCTGATCGCAAGTTAAGTCTGCCTTTTTACACATGCTAGGCTGAGTACTGAAGCTATTTTGCCGTGTATTATAGGTTGTCCAGCGTGTTCAATCGCAAAACAAGAAAACTCTCAGCGGTATGCCGATGATGTCCTTCATATCGGAAAACAGCATAGTTGGTGCAAAGGTAAAGTAGCATCGCCAGCAACAATATTGATGTCAAACCAGTAACCTTAATATTTCTTCCAGATTTTTACGATTCTGGTATCAAGTCAGAGTCTACCTTTGTACAATTCGGGTGTGTATCAAATGCAGTGCAACGCGACCTGTTATGTATATAACCCGAGTGTGTCAGACAATCGAGTGGTCCAGCGGCTCAATATATTGTGATTTTGGTTTACAATTGCAATTCGTACTAGATTTATCTGCAATTAATATCGGCTCGTGCAAATCAACTAAAGCTATTTTTTGCATTCCTCACAGCATACCTTTTTAGTCTATGGATTTCAAATAAAGGTGGAAGTCGGGGTGTTGAACGGCTGACGTCGATCCTATACCATACAAAATTGGGTACCGTCCCTCTGCTGAGCCCCTAGCTATTCGCATCTGGCTTGCTTGTGCGACCCCAGCTCATAGTGTTGTATATCGTCTAGTCTATACAATGGTGCTGTCAGGCAATAGTGCGATTTCGACATAACGAGAATTAACGTCAATACCACATACTAAAGGAACGGATATTCTATTGTACTAGGGAAATAGTACACCCTGTGCCCTCACCTCTGCTGCAAGCACTATTAAGATATTAACGGACGGTCTCGCGATATCGTCGTGTTCGAACTAGCACGTCCTCACTATTATAATTGTATAATAAACAAAGCAACATGAATAAAAAATGAACCCGAATGGACATTTGTTTTCCTTTTGACCCTTGCCAGTACCACCACCCTCTAGACAGCGCACACCTATTACTATAAATTTGTACCCGAAGTTACATCGATATCAGATACATAAGGAGTCGAGAAATCAACTCAGATAATCAAAATTTACGAGAATATCACAGGCTCGACTCTGTGGATAGCAATGATTTAGAACTTCAAGGGCCCGTGAATTGCAATTTTTTTTATTGAATAGCCCCGATTTGCAAGATTAGTTGATATATGGCAGTGCGATACGAAATTCATTGCAATGCAAAAATATAATATGATGAGAAAGGTTTGTCCTCTTCACATATTGTCGTGTCAGCAACACCGCACATAATTTCAGTTTCACGCTGTCTCTGCCGTTGCTCGGTGCACTTACACAATCGTATACTATAATTACTGTATTTTATACCCTCGACGCAATATTCATGGCTCTGATTTTAATACAAATTCACTTTAGACTATCTGTATTTTAAGAATCCCAGCGACTATCTGCATCTCTTTGCTTCAAACGCACTTTATGCAAACTTGCGCACATATTGAAAGCGCAGGAAGTGATTATGGAATACTCCTCTCAAATCCCCGATTCAGTTTGACAACTTCGCTCCGTTAACTTTAATGTTACGAAGCCAAGTCATAGGCAACATAGATTGGGTAACTAGTTTAGTTGGTAGTGAAGTTTAGAATTTGGTGTAAGAAAATTTACTCTGAAGCTAGAAAATTGTCTGATATCGAAGAGTATTGCCGATCACTATTCGTTCGTTCCCGAAATCAGCAATTGAGCACAACCCTAACCAGTAATATGTATATATTTATAACGTAGCTTTCCATCGTCTTTATTCAGACTATAAAATTTGGAGTAGCAAACAACACAGTATCACTTAAGAGCATCGCGCCTGACCCAATTACTCAGAATATCTTGCTTAAAGTTCAAGTATACATATATCAACCTCCCAATTTGATCCTGGGAGGAAATGATAGGCTTCTGAGACTACTTTGTAAATTATTTTATTTACCACTTGCTCAGCTCTTTTTCTATATATATTCGGTTGGAGGCCTTACTCGCCACTCTTTTATTTCCTCTAGATTCTCGTATTATATCCCGTCCCTATACTATTAATATCGATGCTCCACTATATCTCTAATCTAATCGCGATTTTGACGTACTTAGTAGTGTCGAATTTGACACATCGCGGCCGTTTTCTGATTAATTGATTCACAAGCAAGTGGCGAAGATTGACCACCAGAGAGGTAAGGACGTGATATATGTTCTACTATACCTGAATTTTCGACTATCTAGGCTGTATAACCCAACGCGTGACATGTATGGCAAGTACACAGGATCACAGCAGGCGGTTCCCCAATCTAGGCTGCAGACCTCATCAGATCGTTTACGCCGGCCTCTCCCGTTGCGAATTTATATGGTTATTCGTCGACAGTCTCGCCCCACCGATGTTTAAGCCGGATATGTAGATACCTGGCTTGGACTGACGCATACCTAAACAAGTATTTAATTTGGATAATCAAAGGATCAGATACACTTGACAAGACAATTATGCAACGCCGGATGCATGCGCAAAGATGAAGCGAAGAAGGAAACGAATCAAAATCATCCATTGTCATGGATAAAAGCACAGTACCCTCAGGACTCGCCCTCAGAATGCATATCAACACTACACAGTCCCTACTGCGGACACCATGGAATTGCACGACACATACTACAAATGCTGAGCACTCCACCTACCTTCGATCGCAGTCTGGTTGTGTGCACGGGTACCGCTTCTCCAGATCTTCCACCTTTCGCCGTTTTCGCTTCCCATTTTCTCCCACGTTGGGTGGCAACGGATTGCTGAGAAAGTTGTTGCGGTTGATACCCATGACCATGGAGATATCCAACGGTCTGTCCTCGGACGCTCCATTTTCGCTCGCATCGGACGTAGGCACACATACATCCGACATTACACGCTCACCCGTTCCACGCACGAATGGATTGGCACTCCTGCTGACATGATTGTCATTGAGGGTGTTGTAGTGTGCCTGGTAGCCACCGACGCCGATCCCACCGCAGATCATACCCGGGGTTGAGATGCGGACAGAAAAGTTTGGGCCCGGTATAATGAGTGAGGGGGCTCTAGTATCTTCACAGTGCGAAAGTTGTGGCTTAATGACCACGAAATGGGGTGCGCGTGAAACCGTGGGCGTATGTGAGTGTGAGTGTGAGACTGGCATTTTCTCTCTGCTGCCGTGGTTATTTATGCGCTCGGCAGAAAGACTCTTGAATAGGTGAGGAATCTCGCTAGCCACGCTGGTAGATCTGTCCTTAACGGGCACTCTATGCTCCCAATCACCTATAGACGTGGATTCAGGCATTTGCGGCATATCGGAATGATGTATGCGGCCCACCGCACTCTCCACGTCGACTACTATGGTCTGTAACTTGGCAATAGTACTAGTGTGCACATTGACATGCTTCGTCTGTGGTTGTGAGTATATCGGTGGGAGACACAGAGACTGACGTTTTAATTCTTCCTCGGGCTGTGCTTGGTGCACCTGATACGGAGAGGGGGCGGCTGTCGTCACATTGTTAATATCATCAAGTCCTTCATCGCGTGGTCCTTGTTGTGAGATCGAAACTATGTCATCGCCTTGAGTACTCCTTTGTGTGGGGTTGCCATTCCTTGATTGTTCGAAAGTTTCTCCTTCGTGTGGGCGGCATATTTTACTGCTATTATCCCGATACAACTCTGGATTCGAATCCTGCCCCCTTGCTTCCTGTGCTCGAGATTTCTGAGGCGCCCTGTCACACTCTGCTACGGAAGACATACACTCTCTCGCGATTGCACTTTCTTCGTATGTTCTATCCTGTCCCTCGACATGTCTTACTAACTTTTTGTTTTCGTCAACCGTCCCATCGGGCTCGTTTATATAATCCTCACGAGTATGCGTATGCACAATACCCTGTTTGTATTTCTCATCATCCACTAACTTCCATTCGGCACTCTCTGTACATTTCGCTGTAGAAGAGTGGATCGAGTCCTTGCCAGCATTCACCGTCACTATTGGTTCATCATGAGTTGTGTCACTCCGGAAGGATGTTGCCGTCGATGCACGAGATGTGTCTGGCTCGTCCACACTAGCAGAACGAGCGCGGCTGAAGTCAGTCGTTTTTGCATCTACGCAAAAAAAAAAACAGCAGCCCCAATGAGTGACACCGACTTAACAACGAATCTGGAAGGCTATGTAAGTAGGTATTCGAGGAAGTTGCACCTCATATCAAATGGATCTCAGCGTCATAGTGAAGGCAGCAGGGAGAATTACCGATGCCTCCTGGATATCTTTTTCTACAGGCCTTATCTTGGCTACATTTTGGCTGAGATCAACTCATGGAGATGAAACCACGTGACACTTACCCCCATCTTCTAAATACATTTTGACCAAGTCAGAGCGGAGCTGCTCGTTGCTGGCACTGCTACGGTTACTTTTTTTCTTGTCCACCTCACATCTGTGTAGAAACAAGGACAGTATCCTAGACTCATCATCGCAATCGTCGACATCAACACCCGCAGATCCGTGAGAACTGTTTGCATTGCATTTGATCATCTTCGTCTATATAAGCCGAGAAACAGAAACGCTAAATAATTACATGATTACATGCCAGCTGAACACCAATGCCTAATCGACACGTAAAGTTTTCACATCTAAAACAGGACAGTAGCAATTATATATCTGTACTTTCCTTCCCCACAAAATACAGTTACAGAATATATATATATATATATATATATGTATATATAATATAAATATACATATATAGATATATATATATACATATACATATATATATAAACATGTATATATAAACATATGTGCATATGGTATATATATATATATATATATATATATGCATATATATATGTATATATATATATATATAATA